GGGGGGGGGGGGGGGGGGGGGTACTCTCAAATTTTGCATGCCCTAGCGGTTAGACCATTGACCACGCGTCCTCGGGAGGATGGAGCATTGTTCCCCTTCAGAGAGGGGCGGCAGTTCCCCACGTGTCATGAAGGAAAGAACCGGAGACAACGTCCAAGTCGCCGTCCTCGGGTGGGAAAGGGCAATATGCCGCCCAGACGTTTTTTTTCTTCTTGTTATTTTCTTCTATGCAATGTCGATGTTCGTGATGCACACGACGGACAACAACGAGGGATGTCATTCTGTTCCCAAATGTTACTCTAACGAAAGAGATGACCCTGACAAATCCGGCAGACGACACTAGCAAAGAAAATGGGAGCATTGTGACGGCCGTAATTGATGGCAAAACCAAAAGGGCAGAGGACACACGAAAATGGAAGAAAATAAAATGAAGGGTACCACGCGTTGTACGCAGATCCTGGTGTGCGCGCTGGTCGGTGTGACGCTCTCTGGCGAGCGCGTAGAGAGGCTGTGGGGCATGACCACCGGTGGAACCAGCAGTGCCGAGCAGTGGGAGGAGAACTTCGCCATCCTGCGGACCCGAAGGAACGCTCCGCCTTCCAGAGATTCATGGGCAACACCCATCTTCGGCGGCCGTGTATTGTAACCGAATCGAGGACGAGACTTGCGAATGCAGATTTCAGAAACCCACGCAGCCGTTCACTTGTCACACCGCGGACCTACACAACAGCCGGTTTAAACTACGGTATACATTTTCAAGCCAATAAGCAATGTCCAACATCGGGCACACGACACATATTCCGAGAAGAACCAAGGAATGCGAGGCGCGGAACATCCCACCACAAGAGCCCCTTAGAAATAACGGCACCAAGAAATCGAGATGCAGGCTCACAGCAATTGCAAAAGCAGCGGAGCTTCACAAAACCCTTCGAAAAAACGCAGAAAGCACCAAGCGACAGGTAACAAGTATCGACGAAACACGTTGTACGCAAGTGAGTTTGCAGTCTTAAGGGCCTGCAGACAAAAGAAGTTTGATGTTGACAAATTTTGAAAACAAACGCGAGAGCACCAGAAAATGAACAAGTGAAACACACCAGTCGGAAGGCATCGAGAAAAACATAAATCGTTGAATCTCGCAGCAGTAGAGGCTGCTCAAAACACATACATCACGCGCCTACTTCCACACGTCTCCTTTGAAATCAAGATAACAATTCACAACAGTCAATATTCAAGTCAAAAGAGCCAAAACGGCATGCCCTCAAACAAGGTCGGGTTTGCATTGGATTCTGCATGTATGCATCCTACAAAATTATATCACAAAAGGGCACCCTATAGCAGCGGGGTGTGTGTTGGCGCGCTAAAAAATCTGCTTCTGTGGTGGTGATATCGAGGGTCGTATTTAGTAGTGGCCTACAATCTCCGCAAATTAGACCGAAACAAATTGTCTAGTACTACTTGTGCTCGCCGCCACTGGCCCCAATCTCCTGCACTGCGGGTTAACAGACAGCCACTAGCTACTGCTGAACACCCGCCGTTCAGGGGTTTATCGTCCGTGGCGGTGAGCACGGCTGTGACAAGTGCTGGATTCCGCGCGGCGCACATTACGGACATTTTTCAGAGACTGCTGCGACCTTCGATATTTCAGCTCCAGTGGGCAAAGCTGAACGTGCCAGCACGCACGACGCCTGATCACGGTGTCCTCTACCGATGGCAGTAGAATGCATGGGATCAAACCGGTGGGAAGGGGTTTTCTTTCTATATGTTGGATTTAAGAGTGAAAATAGAGCCAGCGTCAAAATAACTTATTCTTCAACTTCAATCAGTTAATAAACCTGGCGAGAAAACCACAGACGCCACGCACACCGGCACCCCCCCCCCCTCCATAAAATTATTTATGTTTTTATTGTTTGTCTTAATATAACACAACATTGGTATTTTTCTCAATACAAAGTACTTCGTTATAACACAACAACAAATCCATCTCTGCCTGTAGACAGGGATATATGATGACTACTTCCACTTTCTGTTTCCTTCTCAGAACAAATCCATCTCTAACTTTTTTTTAACACGAAATACATGTTAAAGCACGACAAATCCATCTCCGTCCATAAAAAGGGGTCTGTAGGATGACTATTTCCACTTCTGTTTCCTTCTCATCGTCCTCGCCTGTGGCCCCAAGATGCCCCCAGGAGCGCCTTGAGTTTCCCCATATCGCTGAGCCCCAAGCGCCTCGCGAGAACGTATGCTTCGCACGCCGCCACGGTGTTGATGATCACTAAGTGCTGCCAACGACCGACAACACAAGGCGAGAAAGCACGTGAAAAACGAACCATCACGGGTGTTATATTTTTGTTTTTTTCGTCTGTCTTGGCTTCAAATCAGCGCGCTCACATCATTTGTGCCGTACACCCCCCAACCCGTGGTAACACAGAATGCCCCTCCCAAAACCACACCACGGGGAATTATGGCAAGGGTGGGTAAGGGGGCGGCGACAGGGGAGTCGTCCGTCTCAGCAGTCGCGGGCCATGTATCGTTTGGAAGAGGGACACGAGGTGTAGGTGATTGACTACTAACTTGAGAGGAACTTTGCACCTCACACGAAGACGGAGGCAGCCAGCATGCACAGACAGCCTAGCTCAAGCAAACCAAAAATAAGGTGTAACCCTGTACAGCCTTCACCTTCGTTGGTACTTCAGCTAAAATACCTGCGTATCAAGACGGAAAGAGGCACTTGGTCGACATGAATAAAAAGCAAGGGACAAATGAAAAACTCAGTCCCGTGGAATGTGTTGGTACAGAAGGTCTAAAGCGACTCCCTCACGAGAGCCCCCCCCACCGGGCGTAACGCCTCCTCTCGCCATGCGAAACCCACCCCCGACATAAATTCTTGCTCTCTGGTCAATCGAAAGTGAGGAAGCGATTATCCCGCCTCGTGCACCTTTCTGACCAATCAAAATAGAGCAAGTGATACGCCGCCTCCTCCAAGTCCAATTCCCGACCCCTGGGGGAAGCTCCAGGCCTTGTTTTCGCAACTATCGGATGGCCAGCGTTGCTTCTGTTACACCATTATTTCTTCTTCATGAGACGTCGGAGCAACTCGCGTCACATGTACTCGACCAAACATCATCCTTCTTGCCTTGCCAGGCCCCTCGCGAAAAGAAACAAGGCTTCAGTAGAGGCCGGGGTTACCTCCGGCCTGTTTCTTTGAAACGATTTTGCCAACCGTAGTGGCTAAGGTTTAAGAGACGGTTGGCCAGCAACAACACTTTCGTTCTCTCAAAACCGTACAGTGCGATATGTGCATTTCTCATCGTCGGGACCCCGGTTTTCTCTGAACCGTACCGTGTGATTTGCGTATTTCTCATGGTCAGGACAGGCCAGAAACGCTATCTTAAATCCGATTTCTCTTAAAGCACTACCTCATAACCCAAAGTAGCCGCTACTGTTGTACGGCAAAATGTAGCACCCTTGGTGCCCCACCTGGTTCACCAGCTTTGCAGCAGCCCCGGCCCCGTACCCCCCCATATGCTCGATGCGACTCCCCATCGCCTCAAGCACGGGCAAGCAAGTCTTGAGATGTTCCCCTTTGCCTCCAACCATGATCGACAGCGTCCCTTCGGGATGGCCACACGGCAGTGTGTGTGTGTGTGTGTGTGTGTGTGTGTGTCAGTTTCACGAACTGCGTGCCCCCCGCGCGGTGTTTCGCCGCTTATTTTTCAGGGCGAAACCACCGGCGTGAAAGGGGCTCCGTAGTGTTCCCCCAAAGAGTGCGGTACGGCATGGGTGATTATTTCCGCGGAACGGCAACACAAGCAGGCGGCACCGTCCCAGCCGGTGGGTGTTCTTGGAGCGCGAGATCGGGAATGCTACCCTTTCGCATACGTGTGCGGTGGTGGATTCATTCATCATGCCGGCAACGCACGTGGATTCACTCACTCAAGCGTTTTCTCCCGGTGAACCCCCCCCCCCTTTCTTCGAGAATCCTGCGGGGCCGCTGCCATTAGAACCCGCACTCAAGAAGTTGGCAGTTGATCAAGAAATCGATATTGCCAAGACGAATTCAAACTCTAGGAACATGAGCACCGTTTGTGAGCCTGGTTAAGGAGCCCTGCACTGAAATCTGTACAGCGGCCATTCGTAGAATAACCCTGGGAGCTAAGAAAATCAGCCTCGGCCCAAATTGCATAAGTGCGTGCGCTAACTGCAGTGTGAACGACAACACCCCTTACCTTCTAGGGCGCCCTGTGGGCCGCCGCTTATTGGCGCGTCCAGAAACGCGCCCCCTCCTTTGATCACGGCTTTGGACATGCTTCTCGCGAAGCTTGGAGAGACCGTTCCGTGGTCCACTATGATCTGTCGCGAAGCAGTCAACCGACGGACGAGGCACGGACGGAAAAGGAAAAAAAAGGAACGACCAGAAGGAGGGTGAGAAACGTAAACCTGAGAGGGAAGAAGAGCGTCAAAAGTGTTGGCTCGCGATAACAAAGAAGTGCCATTCGAGATAGGTAGTTGAGGGAGGTCGGGACGCCTCTGGCTTTAAAGACAACAACAAATAGCGAGGACCACAACCATGGTGACGACAACACTCGAGATAGGTGCATGATAGAGGTCCGAACGCCTTTGATTTTACCGAAACAGCGACAGCGAGGACAACAACCATGGCAACGATAGCAACAACAACACGACAGCGAGGACAACAACAATGGTAACGATACCACCAGCAGCAACAGCAACAGCAGCAGCAGCAGCAGCAGCAGCAGCAGCTGCAACAGCAACAGCAACAGCAACAACAACAACAACGACACTAACCTTGTCAGCCATGACCTTTGATCCCACCGCCAAGAGCCCGTCCTCCCCGGCCAAGGCCTCCACCGACTGCTGCTCCGTGTGCACGCACACCAAGCACACGTCCGAGGCCAGCATCACGTCCGCCGGGGACTCCAGGAGGTGCAGGTGGGGCGTGGACAGACCTCCCGGTCCTGCCGAAGGGGTGGACGGGGGTACACACGGAAGAGGGGGGGGGGGGGGGGGGGGGGTACCCCTTGGGGGGGGCGGCCTTACGGGT